CCGTTAAGTAGCCGAATTTCTAAACCTGGAGCTGGAACCAGATTAGCAGAACACAAACACACACATGCACTACTGCTACAACAACAACAACAACAACAACAATGTCGGAAATAGTATAAAATTTTAGCATAAGTTTACATTTGTTCGATTGGTAACATTTGGCACGAATTATAGCCTTCAAACGGCCAATTAAACCGTCACACGCTGCTTGAATGTTGCTCTTCGGTATTTTGTCCATTCCCGGCGAAGCGCTTCGATACTTTGGTATTTTTTAGTGCCAACCTTGCTTTTCAAAATACGCCAGACACAATAGTCCAACGGATTGGTCTCCGGAGATTTTGGCGGCCATTGTGCGCTGGAAATGAAGCGAGGAAGCTCATTTTGTAACCATTCTTTGGTGGCGCGTGCTAAGTGCAATGGTGCTGAGTTCTGTTAGAATGTCCAAGGTCTGCGGCCAAAATGTTTGCGTGCCCAAGGCTTTAATATACCCCCCAGAATATTTTTGCATTTATTCTGCCATCACCATGGTCGGCGCTTGACTTTTAGTGGCCAACCGAAGATACACATTTTCAGCTGACCTCTTTGGCAAGTAAACACGATCATTTTGTTTATTTACAAACTGCTGGACAAAGAATGTTTTCTCATCGGAGAAAACCAAATTCGGCAGTTCACCACTTTCGGCCAAGCGAAGCAACTCTTTAGCGTTTTTGAGTCTAATTTCATTCTGTTACGGTGTAAGTTCTTGCACTTTTTGAAATTTCAATGGCTTTACCTTACCCCAAGCTCATTTTTCAATAATTGCCGAATGGAATATTGCGATATGTTCAGCTCACGAGCCATTTTTCGGCCATTGCGACGCGGGCTTCGATCAAGTCGCTTGTTTACTTTTCGAACCATTTCTGCTGATGTTGCTGTTTTCTTCCGTCCACTTCCTTGACTTCGGGCTACGCTACCAGTATCACGGTAACGAGCGATAGTACGAGACACAAAAGATTTATTCATATTTAAATGCTGGAGTGCTCTAACGATAGCCACTTGTGGGTTTCCAGTCAAATATAAAGAAATCCCATTATTACGCTTGAATTCCATTACGAATAAGAATTTTTTATGGAAAATTCTCACCAAATGCTTTTGTACGCTTGTAAACAATATGGTGAGCTGCCACTGGAATAATTTTAACAGCCGTCGGACGAGTGGCTTAGGTGTGACAGCAGTCTGAAGTTGGTTGCAGTTTTTTCATCTCACCCTGTATATGAAATGTTAGAGTTGAAACCCAGTTGTTTCGGCCAAAGTTTTTTATCAATCTAAACTGGGCATGTTTCTATATTCATTTCAATCGATTTCAATTTTTTGGAATACCAAATGCAAGACTGGCAACGTGAAAAATACATTTTTGCATATTATTTTCAAACACCAAAATCGCTTGCATGTTTTAAAATGATTTGTGTTATTATTATTTGCGTAATTATTCTATATTTTCCATTGTCTTCCTAAAGAGTTTGTTATTTATTTTTGAATAGCATTATGGAGTTTCGTTTTCCAAATGTAAAATAAACAAAAAAACAAACTACAAATATTTTTATTTTTCACTTCACATACCCAAGATACGTATATTTTAGGACAATGTCTTAAAACCATTCAAAAACAAACACACAAATAATATTTGAATTAAAATAATAGATATTACAAAAGAAAAAACTAATGTCTTTATTTTTATATGTACAGATTTATATAAATAAGCGCATATTCCTTCCTCATCCCTTGATTTGTTTTGTCGATTATCGTATTTCTTTTTTTATTAAATAATGATAACAAATAATATATTTATATATAATAATAATAATAATAAAAAATAGTATTTAAACATTTAATTAATAGTTGTAACATGTAACTTAATAATATCTAGCATCAAAAAAAGGAAAACTAGAACAAAACAACAGGTCACATTCAACGTTAATGCAGAACAGAAAACCAACCGTAACATCAACAAAATATATATTTTACAATCTAAAAAATACGTTTACTTTTTAAAATAATTACAAAACAAACAAATAAAACAGAGTAAAATAAAATTTGCCACTGATACATTTCAAATTTTTGATTGATATATACCCCAAGATGAAATAACTTGAAAAATGTGAATGTGAAAAGAATTTAATTTCCAAATACCCAAAAAAATACCTAAAATGAAAAAGAATAAAAAATTAGCATAGCATTACCATCTTAAAATAAAACATAATTTTAAATGTAGATATCTTGTTTGTTGTTTTATTAGCTGATAGAACATCATGTAACGTTAGACCTATAAACCCGAAAGAGGTCTATTAGTTTTGAGCAATAGGCAAAAATGTAAAAGTGTTAGGAAACACGAAATATATGAGAATGTGTTATGTCGATATTTCAAGCTTAAAACCTTGAAAAGGTTTGCCATTTTTGCAATGTTTACAGGGTGAGATGAAAAAAACTGCAACCAACTTCAGACTGCTGTCATTTCTAAGACACTCGTCCGACAGCTGTTAAAATTATTCCAGTGACAGCTCATTATATTATTTACAAGCGTTCAAAAGCATTTTAGTGAGAATTTTCCAGAAGTTATTCCAAAAAGTTATTCGTGATACAATTCAAGCGTGATAGTGTGATTTGTTTATATTTTATATTTTCTTTATTGAAACCATAAATGACTATCGTTAGGGCACTCCAGAACTTAAATGTGAATAAATCTTTTGTACCGTGATACTGGTAGCGTAGCACGACGTAAAGGAAGTGGAAGGAAGAAAACAGGAACATCAGCAGAAATGGTTCGAAAAGTAAAGAAGCGACTTGATCGAAACCCGCGTCCGAAACCCGCAGTGGCCGAAAAATGGCTCGTGAGCTGAACATATCGCAATATTCCATTCGCCAAATATTGAAAAATGAGCTCGGGACAAAAAGTGCAAGAACTTACACCGCAACAGAAAGAAAATAGACTCAAAAGAGTTAAAGAGTTGCTTCGCTTGGCCGAAAGTGGTGAACTACCTAATTTGGTTTTCTCCGATGAGAAAACATTCGTTGTCCAGCAGTTTGTAAACAAACAAGATGATCGTGTTTACTTGCCAAAGAGGTCAGCTGAAAATGTGCACCTTCGATTGGCCACCTGGACTCAAGCGCCGGCCATGGGGATGGTGTAGGCCGCCATAACAGCCGATGGTCGCTCTCCGCTTGTATTAATCGACGTGGCATCAGAATAAATGCCGAATATTATCGCGAAAATATTCTGGAGGATGTATTAAAGCCTTAGGCAACATTTTGGCCGCAGACCTTGGACATTCCAACAGGACTCAGCACCATCCCACTCAACACGCGCCCCCCAAGAATGGTTACAAAATGAGGTTGCTCGTTTTATTTCCAGCGCACAATGCCACAAAAACTTCCGGATACCAATCCGTTGGACTATTGTGTCTGGAGTATTTTCGAATGCAAGGTTGGCACTAAAAAAGCAATACCGCAGAGCAACATTCGGGCAGCGTGTGACGGTTTCATTGGCCGTTTGAAGGCCATAATTCGTGCCAAAGGTGACCAATTCGAACAAATCTAAACTGATTCAAAAATTTGATGCTATTTCCGATCTGTTTTGCTTTCATTCAGTAAAATTTAAAAAAATTTAAAAATTATGGTGTTTGACTTTGTTGCAGTTTTATCTAACCCTGTATTATTATAAGAAAAACCTATAAAGAAATGAACAAGTAAAATCCCTTCAACGATTCAGAAGAGCACATTCGTCAAAGAACCAAATGCTATAACTTACAAAACGTTATTGAACAAAATTATCACTAACATTTTAAAGTTATCAGCATAAACATTGTTGTCTTTACAAAATTACAGGTCATTATTTCAAATGTTTTTACTTCGTGTATCGATTTTGTGAGGTTCCATAGAATTAATGGTGATTTTGTTTTAATTTACAACTGCAGTTTTTTCTTAAAGTTATGGAGCAGCTTGAGTTTAGGGGCTAATACCCGGTTACCCAGTTATTTGACCCGAAAGTTCAATAAAAAATAAGATTTTTATAAATAAGATTTTTATAAATATAAATTATGTACAAAATGAGTATCATTTGAAAGCTTATGGAATTATCTATTCAACAAGTTGTCATATGATAGGAACCGGTTCCGGAGTAATGCAAGAAAATTGGTATTTTTATATCAGTACTTTTTGAAAAACACCTAAAAACTCGAAAATAGACCCATTATGGAGTATTAATATCTACATGCTACATTATAGACTATATTCTTGCCTTTCCAGAATTATATCATGTGTACTGATATCTCTTATAGTTCCAAAGATATATGTAATGCAAATTATGAAATTGAAATTTTCTCCACTATATGTATCTAAGCATTTTAAAGTAGCCGGCCTTCGGCTGGGGCTTGAGATTTTCTCACTTGGGGTATGTCCAATACCGGCTACGCGATCCAAAGTTTTACTAAACATTGTAATTTTGGTGAGTAGACGGCCTTCGGCAGGGGCTTGAGATGTTCTCCCCTGGGGTATGTCCAACACCGGCTACGCGATCCATAGTTTTTCTAAATTTTGTAAGTAGCCGGAATTCGACTTTAAAGTCAATATCTTCGGAACTACAAAGCTATAAAGGTTAGATGCATATTAGTGGAGCAAATCTCAATTTCATGATTTGCAACACTAATATCTTCGGAACTACAAGAAATTTCAATACCTATTGCACCTTTTTCAAGAGGCCCCATAATGGGCCCATTTTCGTTATGGGTTTTTCAAAAAGTTTCGGTACAAAAAATATAGATTTTTTTGTATTACTCCGGAACCAATTGAAACCAACCCATCATATAACCACTTTTTAGAAAGACATTTCCATAAGCTTCAAATGATATCCATTTTGTACATTTCAGGCCAATCCGAGCATAGCCCCTAAACTCAGCTTAAGCCAAAGTTATTACGTAATAAAGTCATAAAGATCGTCTCCTCAACAAGAAAAAATCTAAAAAATATTAAATTTTAGTTTTTATTATTATTTGCAATTGTCTGAAGTGATGAATATTGCTAGCAGCCAAAAAATTAACTGCATTGAAATTGTTTCTAACTAAAAAATTCTTTTCGATAATATTTCAATTCTGCTATACTATCTTTAATATCATCTAAACTGCGATGGGCTAATATCTTGGCTGGAGCGTTTTTAATAACTGAGGGTTTCCATCGTCGTGCCAATTCTTTGATACTGGAAACATCAATGATCCTATAGTGCATGTAGTCATCCACTTGAGGCATTTCCTTACGTAAAAATAATCTGAAACAAAATAAAGAAAAACAATTGCCTTAATTTATTGAGCAACCATTAGAAAGAAAAACAAAGTTTTTTACCTGTCCATATAAACAGAATTCCCAGCTAATGGGCATTTTCCTTTGGGCACTTGCTTTTTTAGAAAATCTAAAATTAATTGTTCTCCCTGCTCTGTAGTGATTTGGGATTTTAAACATTTATCCACCAGTCCAGATTCATTATGATGTTTCATGCACCATTCATTCATTGTCTCCAACACTTCCTTGGGTTGGTTGATTGCAAAACATGGCCCTTCCGCTACAATGTTTAAATCTTGATCGGTAATTAAACATGAAACCTCTAAGATTTTATCCGTGAATACATTCAAACCAGTCATTTCTAAATCCATCCATACAATATTTGTCGCCATGGTGTGAGGTTTGTCGGAGGTAGAATGGAGATTTTTTACGTATAACTTATTGCAGATGTACTGAGGAACAGGTTTGCTGCTTAAAATTAGCCTATTTAATATAGAAATCATTTGTATTCATTTAAATATTATTCCATATAACTTTTTTGTTATGTGTTCGTCTGTTAAGCAAAATACACAAAAGGTGGAATTGCTTGACGCGTAACATTCTCACATGTCAACACATGTTTGAAAACGATGCCCACAATCACTGCGATTAACACAATACAAGCGGTCTATTCCAGAGCCTCTACGATAAATTGTACGATTTGTTACCCATTTAGGTCAAAAATTTGCATTTATTTTTCAACCAAATTCAAAATAATTTTAAATTATTGTATTTTTTATTCAAAACAACACACATACATACACAAAATGTGAATATGTGTTGACAGAATAAGGGCACCAAAAGAAAAAAATTGTATTTGGTGGGGCAGCTTTCTTCTACCTTCCATAATTGTTCCATGTATATAATGAATTCATAAATAAACATTTTGGCAATGAGATGTTGTCAAAAGAATAGTTCTGAAAAAAATTGTAAACATATGATTGTACGACCTTACCTTCTTGATTTTACCATGGATAAAGCTGATTACAATTTTTTTCTAAATGTTTGGAAGAAACGTAAATTGCAGGGCGCGTATTAAAGGTATTAACCATGGTACAATGAAAAGGTAAGATAGAGCTACCAGCTGATTACAATTTTTTCCTAAGTGTGCATGATTTCTGGCAATTATGTGTATGTCTCACGTACATTGCGAGACGCGCAAGTCGTATCATTCATTTTTCCCGCTGTTTAAATGATTTTAAAAATGAGAAAAATATTGAATATATGAAAACAACTAGTTGCATGCAATTTTGACAAGAGGAGGTCTCAAGGCTGTATTTTTGTAGTTTTACAAAGCTGTTCTACCTCCTTGATGTCGTATAAGAAAACATATAAAGATTTACTTATATTTAAAGAAGCATTTTTAAATTTTGGACACATCAATGTTCCCGTGTTTATTTCTTTTTATTTTTAAAATTGTTCAAATTGTGTTTTGTGTATGGTGAAAAATCCGCTCCGTTACATTTCTTTTTCACGATTTTCACTTAAGTTAAAATATTGTAATGCCACAATTGCTCTGTTCCAGTACCTGCAAGAATCTACTAGTTTTGCAATTTTCTGCGATATCTTAAAGGGAAAATGGGTTATCGGAGTAAAAACTATTACATTCTTGTAATTATGGATGTTATCGAAAAAATTGAAAAACAAGTAGATTATTGCAGGTTCTGGAACAGAGCAATTGTGTGCAAAGTCGCATACTACTTTCATGTGTTAGAATAAGACGTATATAGTTGTAAACATGTAGCATAATCATTCTCCGTACATTACATTTCCACTGAAAAGAAGAAGAGTCAGTAAATTCGATTACATACATACGATTACTCCGATTATTTGGTGGTCTGCTTGTGCTTGCAAACAAAAGTAAAAAATAAAATTGTGTTTCTGAAAGTTTTTTTTGATTAAAATAGAAAACCAAATAGTCCAATAAAGTCATAATTTTTGTCCAATAATAGTGCTCCTAGCAATCACTTATATTTATTTTGTATTTTTTTCGTTTACACAGCACATCAAAGAAAATGTCGTCGGAAAAGCCCACAACTTCAAAGGAGTCCTTTGATGTATTTTATGAAGAAGTGAGTCCAACTAGAGACATAATTAAGAACTGTTAATAAACCAAGGGCGTCATGTATAAATGTGTGAAATTTTTGGTAATACGTCCTACTACTCTCTGTGGACAATTAAACTTTTAACACTGGGAGCGACTTCTGTAAACGTTTGAGCGGGTTTTTGGAGGTGTCATTTCTTAAACAAAGTATAAAGGACATATTTGTTTTTACCGTGAACTTCGCAGCCTTTTTGTTTCTATTTAAACAACAATTGTTTTCTCTCCATTCGGAATATGTGTTAATTATTGACATTTATAATTTATCAACATACAATATTTTTATCATGACGCCCTAAACTTACCGATGATCAGCAAAATACAACAACTACTTACATTGTGCCAAGAAATTCTTAAGTTTCATATTTATTCTAATATTCTGTAAATTTGCTAAATATATTTTGCCGTATTATTCACAGGTTAAAGAAATTGAAAAACGTGATTCCGTTTTAACATCTTCTCAACAAATTGATCGTTTACTTCGTCCAGGTTCGACATACTTCAATCTCAACCCCTTCGAAGTGCTGCAAATTGAACCCGAGGTACCAATTGATCAGATAAAGAAGCGCTATCGTCAACTATCCATACTTGTTCATCCAGATAAAAATCAAGATGACAAGGAGAGGGCACAAAAAGCATTCGAAATTATCAATAGAGCATGGAAAATTTTAGAGAATGAAGTAACCCGCAAAAAATGTTTGGATGTCTACGAGGAGGCTAAAGAAAGAACCGATCACATGGTAAGAAATTATACGTATTTTCTTATAATTTTGCATAATAAGAGTGAAAGTTCAATAATTTCCTTGTTGTAGATTGCTGAGAAACGTAAAAAGATCAAAAAGGAAAATCGCTTTGAAACAATACCGGAAGATGATCCCGCCAAGTACAAACATGCCATTTATGTCATGGTTATGAAACTCTTTGCCGACATGGAACGTAGGCGGCAGCAATTGGATCAACGTGATCAAGAAGAACGCAAACGTAAACGTGAAGCTGAAATCGAAGAGGAAGAAAGAATAAAAGCCGATCGTGAATGGCAAAAAAATTTCGAAGAATCTCGCCAGAGTCGTGTAAACAGTTGGCATGATTTTCAAGCGGGCAAATCTAAGAAAGCTAAGAAACAAAAACGTATGCAGGGTCTTATGGTGCCACCGAAATTTAAGCCAGAATCACGATAAGTAGCGTACAACTCGTTCAATTCTCTGTTATATAGATTTTATACAAAAAGAAAAAAAAAAAAACGTTTTTCGATGGAAATTTTATGAAATTAGGTTTTCTTTTCATAAATGCAGTAAACACATACATAAATATTCTAAATGCATACATTTTAAGAAATGACGTACACATAAACTACATGCATATATATTTAAATATATTTAAACATAATAAACAGAAATGTCTTTACGGTGTGTAATGATTTCCTATGCGTGTATTGGACATTATTACACCATAACAAGAGAACGCATATTCATTTTAAATGAAATAAGAAAAAATAAATTTAAAAATATACAAAGCCAATAATTTTTTGATATCCTTTTTGTTAAGACCGTTCAACATTTCTCAAGCCAATAGGTGCAACAAATTTCCAATAACTTTTTTCGAAGTTTTGGAGATCAGAAATCAACTCGGCCGTACATTTCAGTTTTCTCAAATTCCGTTCGTGTCTTGAAGACTAGTTGTACTTGGCTATGGATTGTTAGTAGTTTTTTAATTACTGCATATTTGCCTATTTAGTTGACCATAAAGAAAAAATTAAAAAAAAAATATTATCATTTTTATTTCTGTTAAGAAAAAATTTACAATCATATAGTTATGAGAGACAAAGAAACGACAAACTTTCAGACTTAAAACGTTGTATATAAACTAGCTGTAAATACAATATCACGTTTAATGGCATTCGATGCTTCTTCCATTTTGCTTTGCAATGCTGGATTGCCAATACGTATGGCAGCAGTTTTAACATCACGAATTGTTTCATCTAATTGCTGAATGCACCGAACAATAATACCTTCCTGGACTTCGGTTAATTTCATAATTTCGGCAAATGGCTGTAAGATTTAGTAATCATTTAGAATTTTTGTCTGACAAAGCTATAAATCTTATTCAAATCTTATCAAACCTTATTGCGAGCCCATTCATAAACGACTTCCAATAAGCCAAAGTTTAAACGGTCTTCAGTCTGTACAACGGCATGATGGCGTAGCTCGACAGATAATATGTTATCATTAATTTCTTCAAATTCTTTGACACACTGAAAGGGACATTTTTTAAAACATAATTCGAAAATAAATGTTGTGCTTTGTTTATCCTTATGGTAGATAGACATCAAATAGATGTTGCACGCACCTTCTTAAGTTTTTCCGGTATAACAGGTTCCCCTTGGATTTTGGCTTGAAAGACCAAGCCTGAGAGTAGAGCTGCAATTTCTGCAGGTTCTAAATTGTTAAACATATTACAAAGTATCAACTCGGTAATTAACAATTCATTCTGACCCATTTCACATGCCACCTTTCCCTTCAACGTCACTAAAAGAATAAGGGAACATTTAAAGTCTTATATGTATATATAAACTTGGTCACAAGACATTACACACCTTCATCTAGTTCATCAATATATTTCAATGCTCTAAGCACTTCCAATTTATTACAGTAGTCCGGGTAGAGGGATAGATTTTTAGTAGAGTTTTTAAATTTCAATTCTTCAATGCGGTGTTCCAACATTTTACGTTCGTATACAATGGCAAATTCTTGTTCAAAGCCAGCGATATTTGTGTGTGGCAACACATCTTGCAGTTGTTTGGCTAAATGTTCCAAATAACGAATTTGGGCCATTTCCGTTTCAGCATTAACATTAATCTCTTTGGACATGTTTATGAACTTGATTGAATCGCTATTTTGTATATAGTTCTCATTCAATTGATGTAGTTCCGAGACCAGCTTAACGACTGAAGCTCCTGGTGGTGAATCCTTAAATCGTTCAATCTGTCGTTGTTCCCAATTACGTATTATAACGTCAGCATCAATCTTTACATTCGTTTTGGTGATTTCTACAAAATCTGCTGCATGAAGATCCAGTATTGTATGTCCACCAATACCTTCTGGATGGTAGTACTTAAATTGTGGCGTTAAGGCAATCATTTTATAATAACTTTCTCCTCTATAGAAATCATCCTAGAACACATACAATAATACTTCTAAATGTTTTAAAAAATAAACAAAAAATAAATTAAAAAATAAAAACCTTTTCATTGCTTTTGAATTGATGATCAAGTACTAAAACTCTATATGTGGTTTCTTTGCCCTGTACCGCTTTCATCGATAGAAGCACACCAAGCTTATTATAATGTTTGCCCTTGCACACCAAAACCACACGTCCGACTTTTAGTTCTTTGACAATCTTAGGCTGAGCCAGTAAAAATCTCTGCAAAACAAGGAATTTAGTTAAAAAATATTATTTTTTGTTTGTGCTGTCTGAATGTTATACATTACCATTAAACGCTGTTTTTCGCCTATATATTCTGTGGCCAAATCATAAAATTTACACAAAGGTTGCAGATGTTCACCCAATTCTGGCATTTGCGAAAACTTGCTTTGTGCAACTTCCAATTGTTTTTGCTGAGCCGGCAGCTGTAGTTTCTGATTGAATTCTTTGAATGTAAATTTCATAATGTCCTCGACTTTAATGCTTTCTATACGCAGGCAAGTTAGGATTACAGCGTAGCGTAAAATAAATTGTGATTCCAGTTTTTCTGGTTTACCCAAAATCATGGAACGCAAATCTTGAGCTGGTGGTACATTAGCCTTACACATTAAAATCACACAGCCATTTTTATCATGGCCTCTTCGGCCAGCCCTTCCAGCCATTTGAATATATTCGCCGGGTTTTAGGTTTCTGACTTCCATGCCATCGAACTTTCGATGCGAATCAAAGACCACCGTCCTGGCTGGCATATTAACACCCATGGCGAAAGTCTCGGTGGCAAAGAGCAACTTGACAAGACCTGATTGGAATAACATTTCAACAATTTCCTTTAGTATAGGCAAAATGCCACTGTGATGCACGCCTATACCACGACTCAGAGAGTCTTTCATTTGTAAAACTTGTGGCAATTCACGATCTGGTGGCTTCAACTTAGACAAGCACTGATGGAAGAATATTTCAACAGAGCCCTTTTCACGAGCTGTGTTCAAATCAATGGAATTTAGGGCCTAAAACAAACCAAGAACTTTCTTAAGTCTTCCAAATAATAAAATTAATTTAATTATCTTCTCACCTGGGCATTCATATCACATCGATTTCGTGACAGCGTGAATGCCACAACCGGCATAAGATCGTTGCGTTTTAAAAAGTCTATCAATCCTATCCATGTATTTTGATCCTGCTTGGGTGTTGTTGTTTGATGTTTGGGACCTGTACCACCGGACATCTGCTTCGATTTACTTTGTGCAGCCTTTTTCTTTTCCACTGCCTTCTCATAGTTTTCTTGCAAAAAGCGTCCCTGGTCATCGACCAATAAAAATCTGTCATCTTTAGTTTTACCTCCCGATCCCGTGTAAAGATAATGCATCAACGGCACTGGTCTCTTCAGAGTACTAATAACAAAGACTTTACGTTTTTTCGTACTACCCACCCAATCGGCTAATTCCATGGTGTTTGGCACCGTGGCAGATAACATAATAATGTTGACATGATCTGGTAATAGTATAATAACTTCTTCCCAGACATGGCCTCTTTCCGGATTGTTAATGTAATGCACTTCATCGAATATGACATATTCCAAATCACGAGTTATATCGCTGCCACAATAGAGCATTGACCTCAAAATCTCTGTGGTCATAATTAAACAAGTGGCAGTTGGGTCGATTTGAAGGTCACCAGTTATGAGACCAACATCTTTGAATGTCTTCTTAAAGTCACGATATTTCTGGTTCGATAAAGCCTTAATAGGCGAAGTATAAATGGTTCTTGTCAAATCTCGTTGAGACAATGCAATGGCATATTCTGCTACCACAGTCTTGCCAGCCGACGTATGGGCAGCCACAAAAACATATTGGCGTTCTTCCAATTTGATAATGGCTTGCTTTTGAAAAGTATCCAGTTCAAATGGAAATGACATAGCCGGACAGGGTATTTTTTCCTTAAAATCTGTGATTGGATGTGAAATATCTAACATTTCTGCCCATTCGGTCTGTAGAGTTTTGTCCTTAGCTGTGGATATTTCCAAAACCGGCTTTAACTCTGTTGCCATTATGTCATCGTCCACATCTTTAAATTCAGGCGGTAGCATTGTCGACCTTTTTTCCTCCTGGGAATTGTCTTCTTCTTGGGTTATCTTCAACCATTCCTGGACATCCAAGTCATCTTCAAGATTCCGCAACAAGTTAACCTTTTCCGCTTCCTTTGCAGCGAAAGGCTTTAAGATGCTGTTCTTGAATTGTTCGTGTTTTGTAAAGTCATAGCCGGCTTTAAAGCCCGGTGGAGTGGTCAGCAGTTCACCCTCAATTTCAAAGCCTTCTATTTCTAGCCTTTTGATTTCTTTTGGTGGTTCATCAAATCCACCTGGCCAAAATGGGTAGTTTGTTGCCGATCCCCTGGTAATTTCATCTAATTTTCCTGGTTCACGCCTCATTGATGTCGAATTTTTTGCATTAGCTCCCACATCTTCTATTTCGACTTCCACAAATAACAAAATCTTGCCGGTAATGAAATCTCTTTTCGGCACTAGTTTCGTACTTGCTGGGCCCCGTGGTAAATGAAGCAGTTTCTCTTCATTATATTCACGCGGTATTATATCAGGTAGTGGATCATGGATGGACAATTCCGGTGCCAATATATAATTTTTCAATTTGTTATTATTTTCCAGGACAGTAGTCATTTTTACACAAACCAATTGCCAACAACAACTGTCGGTCGGCAAACAAACAACAAATACTAATGTCAAAAAATACAAAATACATATAAGTGATTGCTAGGAGCGCTATTATTGGACAACGATTATGAATTTTTTGGATTATTTGGTTTATATTTTAATCAAAAAAACTGAAGCATTTTCTCTGTGCTGTGCGCACCTGCAGAATTAAAAAAATAGATTTAATGTATTTGTTTATCTTTTGTTCTGTGATTTCAATTAGAATAATGTTTTTGATATTCCAATTGGAAGTCAGCTGGCTTGGTAGGGTGACCTTATACTTGGGATATGTTTAGAACTACTTACGTCTCATTCTAACACATTAAAGTGGTATGCGACTATGCAAATAGTGTAAAGCATGGTAGAAGAATACAGGTAGACCATGGTAGAAGAACAGATAGTAGCATCCACACAGCTGCTGGGACAATGAACTGTAAACCCGATTTTGGAATTAGAAATGTTGAATGAAAAATTATTATGATTTGCGTCGTATAGAAAAATATAGGTAGACGCATCAACACAGCTGCTGAGACAATGAACTGTCAAACAAATTTTGGAATTGAAATTTTTTGATTAAAAATTATTCAAATTTGTAAAAATTGTTGAGAAACGCATACTAAAAATTAACTTTTATTTAAAAAAATATTTTATATTCATAAGGTATTTACCAAGGCTTTATAAGAAAGGTTGCTCAACTTTAAGAAAACTAGAAAAATGCAACTCTGTGCTGAAGTGTTATAGACTTATAAAAATGCAAAATTTGTTTTTTTAATTTATTAACAAAATTCTTATATATGTTTTGACAGAATAAAGACATTTACTTTTGAAAATATATGTTTTGCTTTTTGAAGTATGTTTCTTGTTCTAAATGTGCTCTTAGGGCTGTATTTCAGTAGTTTTACGGATCTGTTTACATCCTCATTGTACCTTGATAATTCATCCATGGCTCAATAAGAAATGTTGTTCATCTTTAAAGGAACTAGAAAAATACAACTCTGTGCAGAAGTCGTATAGTGCCAAATAGACTTTTAAATATGCAATAGTTGGCTCTGCTTATTTTTAATTTTTTAAACTAAATTCGTATATGGGTAAAACCCGCGAAACAAGAATGGATACACAAAATGTGCATATGTTTTGACAGAATAAGGGCAAAGCAAAAATATTGTATTCAGGGGTAGCTTTGTTCTACCTTCTGTGGTTATGTCATGTGTGAAACCTTCTAATGTTTCAATGTGTACCTATGAACTTGTTGCATTCACAAGTGATCGGTTTTAACCTTATGTATATTACATTCAAATAATGTAATAAAAACTGTGTTAATAAACATTACGTGACAGTACATATGAATTGTATATACCATGGCACAAGAATACAGGTAGATGCATCAACGCTTGGGAACATTGATATGTCAAAATTTTAAATGTTTTTTTTTTTAATATAAGTAGATTTTAATATGTTTTCTTATACGACGTCATTCGGAGGTTATTATAATTCGTGTTTTCAACAATTTTTACAAATTTAAATAATTTTTCATTAAACATTTTTAATTTTACAATTAGTTTGACAGTTCATTTTTCCAGCAGCTGTGTCAATGCGTCTACCTATATTTTTCTACCACGGTAATATGCCAAGACTCTAACTTCTCTCATTCCTGTACGTAGATTACGTTTTTAACTGTTCTACGACACGTCGTAGAGTAATTTATAATCCCGTGATATGGCAACCCTACATACCGCATTGACGTTTACCTATGTTGTGAATTGTCACTACTGCCCATAACAGCTTGCTTAGACGTACTTTTTTCCTAGATTTTTAATAAATCTACTTTAAATTAAGTTTTAGAAGTGTTCTTTGGAATATAAACACACCTTACTATGGCCTTGCAACTTGTGCTCCGTAATGCCACCAAATTTAATGGTATGTACTGTCCAGAGTTCTATAAACTTCGCAAAGTAATAAAACATACAATTTACATTATATAACTAATGGCAAGCAATATTTTCAATATTTTCGGATAATTGTTTTCTTTTTTACAAAACAACAGGTGCCGCTTTGGTTAAATCTGTGCGTATGACCCCATTAAAGACCTATGCTACAGTAGTTGCTGCCCAACGTAGTGCTTTGGTCAAACCATTGAATTTGGTTAAGAACGTTGCTGCTGTAAGTATAGATATTGTATCCATTATGAAGTTTTGAAAATTTTAATATTTGTAATGAACCGAATTATCCTTTAGCCTGTTACACGTAATGTTGCGGTAAGTGCTCCCCGCATGGCTGCTGCTGGTGGTAGTCACACTGCCTTGTGGACAATTGAACGTGTTGTTTCGTTGGCTTTGTTGGGTGTTGTACCACTCGCTTTCGTTGTACCATCACAAACCATGGATGCTTTGTTGGCTGTTTCCCTGGTTCTTCATTCTCACTGGTAAGCGGAATATTTGAAGAAGCTTGCTATTGCAATAAACCACAGATAATGTTTTTCTTTTTTTTTTGTTTAGGGGCATTGAAGCCTTGGTAACTGATTACATGCGTCCCTCTGTGGTTGGTAATGTTTTACCTAAAGTAGCTCACGGATCCTTGCTGTTGTTGTCTATGGCAACTTTGGGCGGTTTGTTCTACTTGATCTACAACGACATTGGCATTGCCAAGTCTGTTAAGAAATTGTGGGCAGTGAAAGGTGTTTAAATTTTGCCAAAAAAAAATTATCTATGTTATTATTTAGAAATTGTATGCTTTAATTCAATTACTTAAAACTTCAATGAGATATTCACTTTGTAAGAGAAAATACAAAAAATAAATTATTCATCGAACAAATAATTTTTACTTTGTATCATGCAACGTGTCTAGATGACACGTACAGCATCTTATTGGGAACGGCAATATTTTATGGAATGTAGAGATGTTTATAGAATACTGACAAAAAAGTGGACTTAGGGACAGCGCCATCTATTTTAAATATGTGAAGTCATACGCACTACAGTCTAAAAGTTTCAACATGCTACAAAAATTAGTTTAGACTTGTTAACTTAATCATGGTACAATGAAGAGAAGGTAGGCCAACTTTGAAAAAATTGCAAGTATAGAGCTCTACCTGTTTGGCTTGTAATGTCAGAATTAGTATCAAAACAATAAAAAATCAAAGAACTTGTTGCATTTATTTTGAATAAATAATTGAAAAACGCGATAACTGAATGAAAGGTCAACACTTCTTTTCAAAATCATGTACTATATATCTCTAAAGGATTATTTCGCTACAAAAACTCTAGATTTTGACGATGCATACGTTGAAATAAACATTTTAAAAACACCCGAATTTGAATATTTTCTGAACAATTTTTTTGTTATTGAAAAGAAAACCAAGAAAATAACAAAATTAAAATCATATGGTATCATAGCCCTACCTTGATATCATTGTACCATGATCTTAATGAATTATTTGTGTACATATGTATCTCGTAATTTGTGTTTGCCACACACCTTCGCTATGTTTAAATATTTAAGGCAGATGGAGCCGCAGATGTTAGCAATAATTTTAAGAGTGTTGAAATGTGACTATGTTGTATTTCAAATTTAAAACCAAGTTACATTTGAATTCACAGTTCAAAATGACTTTAAAAAAAGAACATAAATAAACAAGCAGCAATAAATAATTTAAACAGAGAGATATGTCCTCAATTTTTTTAAGATGTAACATGAGATATTTGTGTGGTATGTATATAAATTTAGAGGCTTTACAAACCTTCCTTTTTATATGTATTTTTTCTCAGCAACAAATTTCCATGCCATGGCCAAAAATGGGCTAATATATGGCAGAAATTATTCTTCAAAACTCTGGAATGAAAATATGGCAAGTTTGAAAACATTTCAGCATCGGGGATCTAGGGTTCCCATACGTCGGAGCGGAAATACCACAATATCCATTAAACAATATGAATCAAGCCGCAAATATACTGGTCTCTGGAAGGCAGAACGCCTGGTGGGAGTTGCACTGGTATTCATGTTGCCCTCTGCATTTTGTTTTCAATCCAAAGAATTTGAAATGGCTACTGCCTTTGTGTCAACCCTCCATACATATTGGTAAAATGGAATTTGCTAATGAAGCTTACACCAATGTAATTTAATCGGTTATGTCTTCAATTATAGGGGATGTGAATCTATGTGCAAAGATTATGTCCGTTCATCGGTTGTCGGAAAAGTATTACCCATTGTTGCAAGAAGTCTTAATATAACCGTGTCATTGGCTACACTGTTTGGTCTGTACAAATTAATATATAACGATTGCGGCATTGTTAACATGATAAAAAAGTTTTGGGTCTTAGGTAATTTTGTACCACAAAACCAGGAATGAGTTTCAGCCACATTTTGTTTACAAAAAATCTATTATTTAATTTACATAACAATCTCAATATAAATTAACATACAAAAGGGAAGTTCACACAAAATTTCTAATGTATTGTTATTCATTATTCTAACAATATAATAAAGCTATTTGCTTGGTTCAGATTATTTTCTTAAGTCTCCTTCAGCTGCATCAGGTCATGACTTTTCCACATTCTTTTTGTAGAACAATCTTAAGGCATCCCATTGTTTGGTATGTAACAATATGTGAGGTCGACAACTACGCATATGTTCGACAGCTTTTTCAGGTGTCCAGCCGTTTTTCTGAAAGAAGTAAATGTAAATAGTTATTAAATATTTATAATTAACTTTGGACTTTGGCATTGAATAAGTTTCTATATAAAATTGTTACATTTTTAAAAGCTATATTTTAATTAGCTATTGCTTGGGTTCATTCGAAAGTCATGTTATTATATCTACGTGGTAAAATCATACATGTATTTCGATTTGCAAAAAAAAATTGCAATTTAACATTAACAAGGCCATTTTAAAGAAATACATTTATCAGTATGTATGTTTAAATTAATTATTATGATTTATTGTTGTAAAAGTGCCATATACAGGGTGAGATGAAATAACTGCAACCAACTTCAGACTGCTGTCATTTCTAAGCCACTCGTCCGAAAGATGTTAAAATTATTCCAATGACAGCTCATTATATTTTTTACAAGCGTACAAATAATTTTGGTGAGAATTACGCAGAAAAAAGTTATTCGTGATGGAATTCAAGCGTGATAATGTGATTTCTTTATATTTGGCTGGAAAACCACAAATGGCTATCGTTAGAGCACTCCAGCATTTAAATGTGAATAAATCTTTTGGTACCGTAGCTCGACGTCAAGGAAGTGAAAGGAAGAAAACATCAACATCAGCTGCAATATTCCATTCGGCAAATATTGAAAAATGAGCCATTGGAATTCCAAAAGTGCAAGAACTTACACCGCAACGGAAAGAAAATAAACTCAAAAGAGCTCAAGAGTTGCCCTGCTTGGCCAAAGTGGTGAACTGCCGGATTTGGTTTTCTCCGATAGTGTTTACTTGCCAAAGAGGTCAGCTGAAAATGTGCACCTTCGGTTAGCCACCAGAACTCACTCTGGAGGGTGTATTAAAGCCTTGGGTAAGCAAACATTTTGGCCGCAGACCTTGGACGTTCCAACTGGACTCAGCACCATCGCAATCAGCATCGCAACCCTAGAATGGTTCCAAAATGATGTTTTTCGCTTCTTTTACAGTGCATAATAGCCACCAAAATCTCCGGATACCAATCTACTATTGGTATCCGGTACTATTGTGTCTGGAGTATTTTGGAAAGTAAGGTTGGCACTCAAAAATATGAAAATGTCGATCACATCAAGCAAGCGCTTCGCCGGGAATGGGCCAAAATAGAGCAGAGCAACATTCGGGCAGCGTGTGACGGTTTCATTGGCCGTTGAAGACCATAATTCGTTCTAAAGGTGATTAATTCGAACAAATCTAAACTTATTCTAGAATTTGATGCTATTTCCGACATTTTTTGCTTTTATTCAATAAAATTTTAAAAAATGTGTAAAAATGATTGAGTTTGACTTTGTTGCATTTTTTTATCTCACCCTGTATACCGTATTATGGTAGATTACTTATTATTACTTTTCCATATGCGATGTGCTAATCATTTATAAAAAGAATAAATAATACACATTGTCATATTTATTTTATCATTACTCACCATCATTAAATAACACCCCACCAATGTTGCACTACGTGTTCGCCCAGCTTTGCAGTGAACATAAACAGTTCCAATATTCTCCGGATTTGATGTTGTACTTAAATTCTTTATACGATCATTTTGAGGTAGAAATTTGTTAATAAATTCAACACCCTTGAAGAGTTTATCTTGGCAAGGCGATTCGAAGATATCAGTGGTGGCCAATTGTAAAAATTCCACTCCCAACAATTGCCATTTGGGGGCATTATTTGAAAATACTGTTAATTCATAATCTTCATTCATGGATACCACAGCTTTCATATTTTCATTTTTAATCAACTATAAAAGACAATCAACACATTTAAGAATCACTTACAAAAATAATGTCTTAATTTCCGATAAAACTTACATCATTTGCCTGAGAGCGAAATGGCAAAGCGCCCAAGATGACATTCTCATCGATACGATCATACCAATTACGTGCGGTGGCCTTTTCCATTAGCACATTGTACAACAATGTGGGATAGAAGGAGACTCGGGCAAACATAGCAGCCTTTTTTTTGGATTTATAAAGTGTAAGAAAACAAAATAAACTTCCTTAACAAAGTCTTCGTAAACAAAATAAAAAGTGATTTAGAAAACTTTCACTAGCACCATGCGGCCAGCCAATACAATCATTTGAATATTTGTAAAAGACTTTAAGCTAGGCCGATTGGATGTTAACTGTCGAGATTGTTAATTGAAACTGGTTTGAAAAAGTTTATCATACAAAACAAATCCATTCTGTAAGTCAACGGCGGTGGTGAAAGCTTTGCCACAAACATTGCTGCCATGAAACACTTGTTGGTCTTTCAACATAAAAGACAGTTTTAGTCATTCATTCATTGAATTACTCTTGCCCAATACGATACGCGGATGGATACTTTGGATACTTACACTCATTTCCATGCCTTTGTTTATGTGCGTTTGCGTCACAAAGAACGATGCAACCCCAACTAGAAAAGCACAAACAATAATAATGTACATTTTTGACATGGAATGTATTGTTCTATAGTTCTTGGTATGAATTTAAATGAATCTATAATTTACATAATCTTACGAATACAAATGGAGTCTTAAAAACCTACGATTTCTGATTAAATCGGGGTGAAATTGGGTCAGCAAGCTCCAACTCAACGACACAACAAAATCACAATCAGCTGTTTCCGCAAGTGTCGTTGTCGTTTAAACACAATGAAACGTCGGTCGGAAAAAATAAGAATCTAAGTGCTATGGCAACATATCAAATTATGGGGCTTGTTCAATTTGACCTATCATTTGTTCATTTGGGAGGGTACATAAGCAGCTTGACATCATGGCTAGGCATATTAATGTCAAATTATCTGTTCAAGAACATACAAGAATCCATGATATAATAATTACAAGGTAGAGCAGATTGATTAAATATGAAAAATGCAACTCTATAAACAAGAGGCTTGTAACTTCAAAGTTATTGACAACAAATGCAAAAAGTTGTCCTGTTCATTTGACACTTCTCTCGCAATATTTTTATTTAGGATAAAATGGCAAAAGATATGTAAATTTGAAATTTAATATTAACAGAAATTGTTTGTTTTTAATTATTTTGAATATTATCAAAAAGCATGGCTTAATAAGAAAGGTTGCTCAACTTCAAAGAAACTAGGTAAATGCAATTCTGTACTGTAGTCTCATTCCCAACATACCAAAATGACTTGAGAATAATATTACAATAAGCTTATGAACATAAACCTTAAGCTTGAGAAAATCTTGAGAAAACATTGAAAAATGTTTGTGTAAAAAGTGTAGAATAATCGAAACGGAACCCTTATTTATAAGCTTATACTTGAAATTGTAGAATAAGCTTACAAAAATAATATTATAATAAGCTTATTTTTGTAATAGTATATAATATTATTTTTTTTTTTTTAATTTTTAATCATTTTTCACATTTTTTTTCTTGATGGACATCCCAGTAGTCACTGCCTCATGTTGCATTGATACCCAGACGCTTTCTTCTCCCTTATTTGAACTTCTGCATCTCTTCCACTAAGACTACACATGTATTGAATTCCTTCAACTTTTTTGATGATTCCAATCTGAAATGGGATTGGAATAATTTATGTGAAAGATTCCCGGATTTATTATTCATCCATACCTTAAGGGTTCGGTCCAGAAATGGGTCCTAAATTCGCGTGATTTTGTTTTTTGCCAAAGAAAATAATTTCTTGCTGACAATTTTCACAAAAAATCGAAACTAATTTGTCAGCAAGGGACAGGTTTGAGAAATGTTTGTGGAACATAAGTGTTTCTCAAGCATTGTTGAAAAATTATATTTTTATAATATTGTTCTCAAGCTGTATTGTATTTTTGGTATGTTGGGTTATGTCAAGTAGACTTTTTCAACATTTTTTTTTTATTTTGTTTATTTAAATGCATAAAACTTGAATGGAATATTGGGAATTCTCCACAAAATTCAATCCAAGATAGTAGGACAAGATTGTTTTATTCAAAATTGTACATTTTGTTGTCCGTTAAAGTGGAAAATATGCATTTCTGTTGTCTCGAAATTTGAAATAATTTCAAATTATTTTCATATATATTCAAAACCATACACACACATATACAAACTGTGTACATGATTTGACAGGGGCACCAAAAGAAAAAAATATATTTAGGGGTAGCTTTGTTCTACCCATGGTAGAAATACCATGTAGCAACATAGGCGAAAATTACAACAAAGCAACTTTTTTGGAAACTTGATATGTCAAAGTTGTAGTCAGGGCGAATTGATTTGAAGTACAAAATTTGGGGCAAATTATTTTTCCAATCAAAATATTGAATTAAAATTTTTCAAAATTGTGTTTTTTTCTATTACAAAAGCAAATATTCAAAACTTCCAACATCGATTGAAAGTAATGCTGAAGCCGCTGCATCTTGGTTTGATTATAGCACGTTCAATACAACATTTTTGAAAATCACATAGACTGGAAATGGAGTGATTTTAGGCCCCAGCGCGCCAACGAAGGACATTTGCGATAATAGATGTCCAATCGTTGTTATCTCTTCATCATCCTTACACAGCATGCAGTCTTGGTAACGTCGGCAACGTTGATTTCATATTCAACAGCGATAATGTTCTTTAAAGGAAATATCCCGAAAATTATTTTTGATGCTTTAAAATTAGGTTTTGTGGTGGTTCTGGGGTGTACCCTTTTTTCTTTTGCTACATCGTCAGCTTTCTCGCTGTAGTGACATGCTACCTAAAAGGTACTTTAGGGTATATTTACTCCTCAGGCTTACTTAAGATTTGGATCAAAGATTGCAGAAGATACAGGGGGGCTGAGTCTACTGTGAGTCCAGGCATATTATTTGCTCAGCCATGAAATGTATAGCAGACAGGAAGTCTTTTAAGCATAGATAACTTTAATACATTCGAACAATTTGAAATAAAAAAATTATCTCAATATTTAATCACACCCCAAAAATTGCCAATATTTTGTTCCCCAAACCAATCCAATATGCTTTGGAATCATTCACCTTTCACTGTTGAAGCCCTATAGTGTATAACATAGTTGAAAATCCGTACAAATAAGATGATGAAATTCCATGTATCGGTTTATTTCCTAAATGAAATTGATTCCCTGTTTCACTTATTTCAAATATCCACGAATTTTAGATCTCCATATTACCTATGCCTACCATATGTTGAATATACACTTTTTCCCTCATACTCTATAAAAACGTAAAATCTCGATTTTCTATCAATAGCATTGTTAAAGTTTGAAATCATGCAACAATTTTCTTATGTGTAAATGAAGGCGAATTCAAATTACAACAATTTTTTGACATATCAAATTGATACCAGCTGGCCTGAAAGGGTTACCTTGTAATTCTACCATGGTTCTACCTTCTGTAATTGTGCTTTTGACTTTGAATATTTTCTGAGAATATTATTATTATTATTATTGAAAAGCATACGCACACATAAACAAATAAAGTTGACACATTAAGCGAAGAAAAAAAAAAATAAAATCATATGGTAAAATCATACCCTACCTTGATTTTATTGACCCATGGCATCATACAAGACACTACTAGTTTTGCATTTTTTCGATATAATAAAGGAAAAATCGGCTATCGTAGTAAAATTTTACATTCTTGCAGATTCTAGAATATAACATTTTTTTAATACTCTGTTCCAGAAAGTCTACTATTTTTTTACAATATCATAAAGGAAAAATAGGTTGTCGTAGTAAAAACAAACATTTACATTCTTTTAGTTCTGTAGTGCGATTCTCTAACCCATTTTCGAGTTACGGACAAAAATCGGTCGCTTTGAAATCCAAAATGTTGATATAAAAAAGTGACTACCTTGATTTTGTCGCTAAAAATCCAAAACAATTAGATTTTTGCAGGTTCTGATTTTTCATTATTTCAGTCGCTATTACACTGAAAATTGAATAAAGAGCTAAACACAATGCAGGCGTTAAGCCATTTTACGGGTGAGTATGACCGACTTTCAGTATAGATAAATCCGTCTCTTTTTCGTTGTTTTATCGATAATATTTAAGGTGTAGAATGTGCCTTCAATCCTCTATGGTGCTATTTTTCAGTTGTGGTGTCATTTTCGCAATATTTTTTTTTAACTGTTAGTAAGAAACAAAATTTCAAACGTTTATTTTGTTTCGATTGCCAATCGCCAAATGGACCGAAAAGTCAATAGCAAAAAAAAAATCGATAATTCGATTAGTCGCAAGTCGATTTATGCTTCCCTAGAATTCTGTTGGGTCCACGTCAAACTAGATAGAAAAAATTGTCAAAAAGGCCGCATTTAACTCAGATAAAAATAAATATAATTAAATTGATAACGAAGAAATAAATAAATTTGCTTTAAAATGGTTAGCTTGATCAACACAATTGACACCGGCCATGAAGATATGATTCACAATGCCGTTCTGGACTACTATGGAATGCATTTGGCAACTTGCTCGTCGGACGGTTCGGTGAAAATATTTGATGTCAAGAATCGTAATCAAGTTTTGGTTGCTGACCTCAAGGGTCATCAGGGTCCGGTGTGGCAAGTGGCATGGGCCCATCCAAAGTTTGGCAATATATTGGCTTCGTGTTCCTATGATCGGAAGGTAATTGTTTGGAAAGAAGGTGGTGCCAATGACTGGACAAAACTGTAAGTACAATGCAGCTAAATCAGGAAGTGATGTCACTTATGAATTTTTATTTGTTCTTGCTTTAGCTACGAATATAGCAACCATGATTCTTCGGTGAATTCAGTGGCATTTGCTCCTTCGGAATATGGTCTGATGTTGGCATGCGGCAGTTCTGATGGTTCCATATCCATTCTGACTTGCAACACCGAATATGGTGTGTGGGATTGTAAGAAGATACCAAATGCCCATACAATTGGCTGCAATGCTGTTACATGGTGTCCCTCAACTGTGCCAGAACCAGCTTTTGATCAAAAGTCTTCCACACGTAGTGCCGGCATTAAACGTTTAGCCAGTGGTGGTTGTGACAATTGTGTCAAAATATGGCGCGAAGAGAGTGATCGTTGGGTAGAAGAGAGTCGCTTGGAAGCCCATTCAGATTGGGTGCGTGACGTTGCTTGGGCACCCTCAATTGGATTGCCACGTTCACAAATTGCCTCAGCTTCCCAAGATCGCCATGTTATCATCTGGAACAGCACCGATTTTACAACATGGTCGCCAACTATTTTACACACATTCGATGATGTGGTTTGGTCGGTTAGCTGGTCAATGACGGGAAATATCCTGGCCGTAACAGGTGGAGACAACAAGGTTACCCTCTGGAAGGAGAACAATGAAAATCAGTGGACCTGTATTAATGATGATGCTTCTGTGGCGGGAGGCCAACAATCGGAACAACGAACATTGTAAATTGGCGCCGTTCCCAAAGCCAAGGCGTTATGTATTTAGTTAAGTGGTAAATAGAAAGAGGAACTATGGTTGCGTTCAACGTCGCTTATCTCTGATTTCTCAAATAACGACTATAAACAACAATGGTAACAACAAGACAACTCATCAAACATGTTTTGTATAGGAAAACGAACTGGCACCATTGCATTTTCATTATTCTAAACTAATTGATAAGAAATTCCATTAGAATATACCCATATTATACATATTTTGTCAAAGTGTTTTTGTTTCTATGCAGTAGTTTATGTTCATTTAGCAACCAACAAATGTTTTGTAATGATTTTTTTTTTCGTTTAATGTTGTATAAAAAGCCAAGAAATTTTTGAAATCTTCGAGTTGCCGTTCTTTGAATTATACATTGAAAAATAATAAAGTTAGATGGTCGAGACTAACGAATGGATTGTATAAGAAATCTTTATAAATAAATAAAAATGAAAACGAAACTTAAAAATGTAATTTTTTTGGAATCTTGGTGTAATTTCAGATATCTTATTTACTGTCACCCAAAATTTAACGAACATGATTGACCTAAGATTATTAGAGAGATTTAAATAGAATAGATTGTATTGCAACAATGCTTATTAACAAAAGTTTATCTTATTGATTCTGTTACTGATTTCAGGAGAAAACACTTCTCTACACTCTCTCTCTCTCTTTTTATATTGATTATTGGATTTGGAAATGTTCTAAAAACCAAAAAGGAAACCTGTGTATGCGTTGTTGTAAATTGCTTAGCTGTTTAATTTAATAGCAGCAATTAGTTGGCATATATTACAGAAATCTTAATAAGTTTTCTGCGCCTTAGTTTTTGGGTTCGATAATGTGCTAAGCCATAAAGTGTTTATGATATGGTCCAAATGAAAACAATTCGAAGAGTGATTAATAGGTAATGTCAGGTGTCATTATGGACTTTCACATAATTTTTGGCCCAATTTTTTTATGTGCTGTTATTAGATTTAACATTTTTTTTAGATATTTTTTTCGTTTATTGAATTAGGTTGTAGAACAAACAATACTTCAAACGATAAGTTTGGTTGGACATATTTTTAATACTATTTGAAAGTATTACGCATTTGGCTTTTTATACCCTTCACCATACATGGTATGAAGGGGAATATTAAGTTCGTCATTCCGTTTGTAACTCATCGAAATAATAATTTTAGACCCAATTATAAGACGATTTAGCTCTGTCCGTCCGTCTGTCCGTTTGTTGTTGTAATCACGGTACAGTAAAAACGAATTAAGATAGGAAGCTAAAATTTTGTCTGCAGGCAGGTCAAGTTCGAAGATGGGCTATATCGGTTGACGATATCGTATAGCCCCCATATAACCGTAACCCCCCGATCTTCGGTATTTTGATGATTTTAGCCACATTTTTTCAATGGAATGGTCTGAAATTGTACACAAGGAGTTCTTTATGAGTACTTTACCCCCTAACAGAAAATTGTCTATATAGGTCCACGATATTATATATCCCCCATATAACGGCACCACTCGATATTCGGTATTTTGAAGATTATAGCCACATTTTTTCAATTAAATTCTGAAATTCTACACAAGGAGTTCTTTGCGAATACTTTACCACCTGACAGAGAAGTGTCTACATTCTTCCACGATGTCGTATATCCCCCATACAATGGTACCCCCGATATTAGGTATTTTTATGATTTTAGCCACATTTTTCAATAGAATTGTCTGAAAATCCTTGTGAGTACTTTATCCCTTGGAAGAGAATTATCTATACGGGTTCACGATATCGTATAGCCCCCATATAACGGTACCCCCCTATATTCGGTATCTTAATGATTTTAGCCACATTTTTCAATGAAATTGTCAGAAATTCCACACAAGGAGTTCCTTGTGAGTTCTTTACCCACTGAAAGAGAATTGTCTATAAAGGTCCACGATATAGTATGGCCCCAATATATCGGCACCCCCCGATATTCAATATTTTGACGATTTTAGGAGCATTATTCAGCGGAGTTGTTTAAAATTGCGTATTTAGAATTCGTAAAGGGTAGTACAGCCTATGACAAAAAATCGCGTATGTAGGTCCAGACTGTCCTGTAGCCTCCATATAACGCTACCTCCCAATATTCGGTATTTTGATAATTTTACCGGAATTATTCACCGGAGTTGTTTCAAATTTCTTATTTAGACAGAAAATTCTCTATACAGGTATAGGTTTACGTATAGGCCCCATATACCTCAGTACCTCTCTATATTATGTATTTTGATGATTTTAGGTACAATATTCACCGAAATTGTTTGAAATTTCCTGTTTGAAGTTCCTAATAGGTACAACAGCCTGTGATAGAAAAATGTCTATGCAGGTCCAGGTCTTCGTAAAGCCCTGATGTAACAGTACCATCCTATATTCGTTATTTTGATGATTTCAGCTACATTATTTACCGGGTTTTTTCAAGTTTAGTGTTTAAATATTGTAATGGCTTATGGCAAAAATTACCTATGCTGGTACACGTCTTCGTATAGACCCCAATATAACGGCTATATCCGATTTTAACAGAATTTTTAACGGATTTTATTTTTTTTGAAAAATTTTAATTTCGTTACAAATGGTTACCAATTACCAATTCCAAACTTACTGCTTTTTTACTTATTAAATTTAGGTATTACCAAATCTTCTGATTGCTTGCTGGTTTTTATAGGAATGCTGACTGTTTATTTTTTTTAAGAGTTTTCTAACAAAAGTATAAAGAATAACCATATCTTGGTTTAAAGAACTTACTGAACAATTCTTTCAGGAAAATTAGCCAGACGTACCTATTATCTAATATACCTCTTTTGTCCCAAACTTTACAAATTGATTTCCTTCCAGAATGCAAGGGATACTGAATTCCATTAACTTTGCAATTTAAAATACATGTCCTCCGTACATTAATATGTAAATGTACTAATTTTTCTTCAAAGTTTAGCTATCATAGCCGATACCCTGGACAGGGACGACCGGGTGATTTCCATTAGCCTTTGACACAACGCAACACTTGATGGTAATCACGAAATAAGTTCGAGGTGTAGATTTCGTTTTTGGGGGAAATTAAAGAAAATCACCAACTGGCAGAACAAGTGCTAAGGCCTGGCTAAAAGCAATAAATGAGGGAGTAAAAAACCATTTGCACATTCCATCATTAGGCGAAGGATGTGTATGTATGTATGTGTGTAGTTGTAACGACGACGTCGTTTTCTTCGTCTAAACTAACGACAATAACTATTAATATTTAATCAAAACAAGAACACAATTCAGGCAGGAACAACGCTGGCATTAAAAACAATTTCTAGTTTTGTGCAAAATGCCCTTTGCCGGCGAATCAATTGGGGCTGTGTGTATTAGGTTGTGTTTTTATTAATGCTGCTGAAATTTTTGAATATTTTTGCCGCATAAAACTTCTACAACACTAGAATTGTGCAATACACGGCAAAACAAGGGAGGGCCAGCATATTTGTAACACCTCGAAATATTGATCCCAGATCCACCATATACTGCATAGCACCATTAGTTCTAATTGTGTATGACTCTTGTATTTACTCCACAGCTCGTAATTATAGTCCGATCGTTATGAAATTTTACATGGTGGTCATTCATTATTGCAAATTTTAAAGAGAATAATATGAGCCAGAATCTATTTTTTAAGGGCCTAAAGCCTACAATCAATTGAGCGGATGAAATGGATCAATACTTTCGTGAGAAAATATCCTTCAACCGTGGATATTTCAAATGCTGAAAGCCTCTATCGGCGAAATCACAAGTACATACAAAGGACACACCTGAATCCAACTTCATAAAAGTTAGATATTGGAGATACAGCATTTGACGGCAAATTTTGCATGACATTTTAGCTTCTTTCAAAAAGTGTGAATGTTTTTACGAAAAAATATTTTGAGAAGAGCCTCCAAAAAGTCCCGAAATTAAAAAAAAAAACTAAAGTGTTTTCTATGATATGGCATTTTGTGTGGAATTGTTCCGTAATGGCGTTATGAAAAAATGGAACAAATGAAAAATCTTTGTTGGTGAGTTGGGTGAGATAAAGCTGGGCTTCTGGAAAGTCGAAGCACAGGATGAGATAAAAAAACATCAACAAAGTCAAATGCCCTAATATTCAACACACACAATATTCCGTCAACCGTCACATGCAGCCCGAATGTTGTTCTACGGTATTTTGACCCATTCCCGGCGAAGCGCTTGCTTGAGGTGATCGACACTTTGGTATTTTTTTAGTGCCAACCTTGCTTTCCAAAATACTCCAGACACAATAGTAAAACGTATTGGTCTCCGGAGATTTTGGTGGCCATTGTGCGCTGGAAATGAAGCGAGGAACCACATTTTGTAACCATTCTTGGGTGGCGCGTGCTGAGTGCGATGGTGCTGAGTCCTGTTGGAATGTCCAAGCTTTACGGCCAAAATTTTGGCTTACCCAAGGCTTTAACACACCCCCCAGAATATTTTCGCTATAATATTCGGCATTTATTCTGATGCCACGGTCGATTAATACGAGCGGAGAGCGACCATCGTCTGTTACGGCGGCCCACACCATCACCATGGCCGACGCTTGAGTTCTGGTGGCCAACCGAAGTTGCATATTTTCAGCTGACCTCTTTGGCAAGTAAACACGATCGTTTTGTTTGTTTACAAACTGCTGGACAACGAATGTTTTCTCATCAGAGAAACCCAAATGCGGCAGTTCACCACTTTCGGCCAAGCGAAGCAACTTTTTAGCTCTTTTGTGTCTATTTTCTTTCTGTTGCGGTGTAAGTTCTTGCACTTTTTGGAACGTCAATGGCTTTACCCCGAGCTCATTTTTCAATATTTGTCGAATGGATTATTGCGATTTGTTCAGCTCAGAAGCCATTTTTCGGCCACTGCGACGCGGGTTTTCGAACCATTTCTGCTGATGTTGCTGTTTTCTTCCGTCCACTTTCTTGACGTCGGGCTACGCTACCAGTATTTATTTATTTTATTTATTTATTTCAATTCATTAGTGATACAAAGCCTCCAAGGCCAATAATGTGTATCCACTTGCATTAAATAATATAACCTGAGCTTAATTTATTTACAATATAAAGATTCTTAATTTATTTAAAACTATTTCTACTTTTACTCTAATATTCAAAAAAGAAAAGAAGTATCACGGTAATGAGATATGGTACGGGACACAAAAGGTTTATTCACATTTAAATGCTGGGGTGCTGTAACGATAGCCACTTGTGGTTTTCCAGCCAAATATAAAGAAATCACTCCATCACGCTTGAATTCCATCACGAATAACTTTTTTTCTGGAAAATTCTCACCAAAATGCTTTTGTAAGCTTGTAAACAATATAATGAGCTGTCACTGGAATAATTTTAACAGCTGTAGGGCGAGTGACTTAGAAATGACAGCAGTCTTAAGTTGGTTGCAGTTTTTTCATCTCACCCTGTATGTCCATATCTGAA